CAAACAAATCTTTTGAGGAATGAAAAACGCCAAGTCTGCAACACCAAAGCTTTCAGTGACTACATGTTGTATTCAAAGAAATTTTCATTTAGAAAACATTGTGATTCAAAGAAATTTGAAATAGCTAATTATGACGTTCATCATGGAATAATTTATTTGGGAAGGACTTCTGCTGAGGCATCTTGTCCATCCTTTGCACCAACACAGGGTGGACTTCATGATGTTTCAGGCACTCTGCTTGTTGAATATTTAATCTGGCCCTGAATACAAAGATTTCCACACCCTCCTTTTCATAAAATCATCGAAAAATAGAACTGAAAGAGACCTCAGGAGGTCAACTAATTCAACCCTCTACTTAAGGTAGGATCAACCCTGTCTAAACAATCTCATTCAAGTGTTGGTCTAACCTGCTCCTAAAATCTTTGATGGATGGAGATTCCTTAGTCTCTCTAGTAATATGTTCCAGTGCTCAACCATCTTCATAGTTAGTGAATTATTCCTAATATCTAATTTAATTTTCCCTTGCTGCAATCTAACCCCATTATTTCATGTCCTGTCGCTTTCAAGCACAGAAAGTAGTCTATTATTATCCCCTTTATAGATATTCTTTATGTATTTAAAGACTGCTATCAGTTCCCCTCCCAGTCCTCTATTTTCCTAAATGAATAATCCCAGATCTTCCATTTTTTCCTTCCAAGTCATGTTTCCTAGATCTCTAATCAATTTTGTTGCTCTCTTCTGGGCTCGTTCCAATTTACCTACATCTTTTCTGACATGCAGTGCCAAAACTGGATGCAGTACTCTAGCGGAAGCCTCACCCATAGTGAACAGAGCAGAAGAATCATTTTTTTTGACTTGCAGGCAACACTCCTGTTAATACACCCCAGTAAGATATTGGCTTTTTTCACAGCAAGAGCACACTGTTGACTCCTATTCAATTTGTGGTCCACTCTCTTCCCCCTTTTGTCACTTTGACTGAGCAGAATTTCCTAATATTAAATATAATATTTCCCTGCCTCTATTTAAGCCCTTCAAGGAAATACATTAATGGACTTTTGAAGGAACTTGAAGTATAACATCGCAAACATAAAGCAAGTATAACATTGCAACATAAAGCAAATCCCCCATACATTTAATACCCCATACATTAGTCTGAGCCAATGGAACACTGAGTATAAAAAGTACAACCTATCTCAGTGTCTTAGGGTTCCCGACCAAGCTTCAGATTTTCTATTAAGGAGACAGATGACCAAAACAGGGAGCATGAAGATAATTAATCAAGTCAAAATCCTGAGATTGCTTTTCTAAAGCTTGAGAAATAATTTTACCATGTATTTTATTTTCTCTAATGCTCTTTAAGATGTATGTAACAAAGTGCTTGTAAGTCCTCTTTGCTCATTGGATTATATGTAAATTACCATATTCTGGTAAAATGATTATATGATTGGTGGTGGGATAATGGCATTGTAGGGATAACAATGTTGAAGAGTACAGTGTAACTGAAGAAAATCCATGGTAAGTTTTGTTGCCTGACCCAGAATCCAATGGATTTAGTAATTAATTTTGGACTACTAAATATTAGAGGAAATACTATGGGGTTTACTAAATAGTGTAGAAAGTGAGTAATTTGGGAGAATTCAGCACACAATGAGGAGGAGCAATAAAAGCTTTATGTATAGCTTTACACTGGTCTCAAATGAGGTTTACATGATGTATAGATCTTAAACTGGCCCTTTATGCAGTGATAATGCCCAGGCACAGCTCCCAGCCCAATCACTGGAGATGCAAATACAACTCTCAGGCAGAATTTTGGCTCATAAAAGATTTTCTTGTACCTTTTAGCCTTCCGTTTTTTGGAACCATTCAGTGCTTGCAACAGACTGACCATTGATTAAAGTTAAATATAGAAGGAAATATTGAATGCACTGCAGATGGATCATTTGGAATCTATTCTAGATTAGATAGGGAAACCCTGTTCAGGTTTTAAGCAAATCAAGGAATCAATGGCTTTGATTCCATTGAATTTAATGGGATCTTTTCTACTGATTTGGTTTTAACAGGAGCAGAACCAGACCCACCTTAGACCAGGAATGAAGGAAAACTTTTGGTCAGCTCAATCCACCACCGTTTAGGGGCCATAATGCCAGTTTACCCCTTATTCTATATCTTCTAGTTCTATCTTCTATCTTACTATGAATCTGCCAAGAAATGGTGCTCTATTCCCTTTCTAATGAGATCATGCCTTCACCTAATAAATATCATTGGGTCAGATTGTGAAAGCCTTAATCATGTTGAACAGCACTGTATCCCAGGAGTTGTACCATTAATTTCAATAGAACCACTCTACAAACTAAGACTGGCAGAATCTACCCTCTGGATGGCTTTCCACTACTAGCCATCCACCAGTCTGAGGCTAGGAATGCATATTTGGTTCAGCCTTGAACAGGTAAAGATAAGGAAATAAGGTAAGAAGCAATATAAAATGATTTGTAACTAAATGTCACTTGCTATTAAACTCCTTTTATACTCTGAAAGGAGGAAAGTTCTGTGATTAAGACACTGATATGGGACTTGATAGATCTGGGTTCAATTTCTATTCCTAGCATCTGACAAAGTAGGTAGTCTGTAGAAGCACATGCCTCTGAGCCATTTGGTCTCTTAAGGCCCTGGTAGATGGTATACTGAAGACATGATTAACCAGTTCATGCGTAATAACTTCGTGCCTGGTTCCCATTGCACCTTAAATTGAAGATGTTGCCGGTGGGCTCCCAGGGCTGAGAGCTCTGATCAGCAGACTGGCACTCCCAGCCCTAGGCCCACTGGGCATGCAGTTTGCTACTTGCCTATGCAGGGGGAACTCAGGTTCCCCCTACACCAGTAATAGAGTATGATTGGGATGTGATCTCCAGTCCTCCAAACTCACCTCCTCCTATGCATGTGTCATCTTGCCCTACACACTGTCCAACTCCCTGTGCAAGTTGTTAAACATTCAATGCCAGCTGCAAAACAGGATTGATCGTATTTCCCTTCTAAGCTCAGACTGCATACTGGAGATAAGAACTGGCTTGTGGTACATGCTTGCTGTTTCTAGCACAATACAGTCTCAGTCAGAGCAAGTAAATAATGCTGTAATACAAACAAATAATAATAGCTTATCTTGTGGTCATTCAGTACAAAGAACAAAAAAAGATAGGTGCCCAGGTACCTTGTACTTCATAGCATGTGGTATTTATTAGACATAAATTGGCACACAAGAATATGGAAAGAATAGTTAGGTATTTCTGTAATCACTTTCACATACACCCCAACATTCATACATATTCACAGTCTCATTCTTCACACTCACATATACCCTGTTTTCTTAATGGAGGGTCATCTTCCATTAAAAGTGTGTGTGTATTTGCTCTGTGTGTATGTGTACACACACACACACAAATACTCACACAGTTTGGAGTGGGGAAAAAAGAAAAGAAAAAAAGGAACCAAACTTGAATTTGAGCATCAGTAAAATAAAACGCTCTCAACCAGCTACTCTGCTGGTTTTATTGTGTGCTATTACTTATTAGAATTCCTATTTTATAAATAAATAGTACCAGTAAATTATTACATCTGAAAAAAACCCTGCAAAAGAAGTTTGTTACTTGCACACATTTTTTTTCTCTTCCCCTCCTGCTACTATTTCCTGTACTTTTTAAACACAATGCATTTAACTTCTCATATATGAAACAGGATTGTATTTTCTTTCTTTTTTATAGAGGAAGAGGAATAACAAATTGAGAGAGAGAGGTGATTTTACAGATGAATGTGTTCAACATTCTTTAAGAACACAGGATTTTGTTTTTGCTGTCTGCACACCCCTCCCTCCCCCATTGGTTCAAGGACTTTGTTTTCCTGTAGTCTTTTAAGAGTTTGGTAGGTGACCAATCTGGCAACTTTCAGGCTTTAAAGCAGTGATTCTCAACCAGGGTACCATGGCACTCTGGAGTGCCTTGAGGGTCTGTCAAGGGTGCCACAGGTTGACACACAATGTTAACATTGTTATGTGTGCAGCACAAGATAAATCCAGAGATTTCAGATAGGAATTTGGAGTCTTAAAAATATTCAGATCCGCTGTGATTTTTCTGAGTTTTTTGCAAGAGAAGAATCACTCTATTATTTTTCTGTAGTCAAAAAACAAGTGAAAACTAAGAGCTGCATTATCTAAGGGGTGCCTTGAGTCTCAAAAGGTTCAGAAACACTGTTTTAAAGGTACCCCAGAAGCTTGAATTGCCTAAAAGAAAATAAATTGAAGAAGAGGAAAAACAGGCAGGAAGGAAAAAGAGAGAAATACGGTGCCCAGTGTGGCAAGGAAGTAACCATATTGTCTTAAATGCAACACGCAACTGCTGGAAATTGAAATGCATATTATAAGCAATAAATATAGTAAACGCGATTTCCAGCTGTCTCTGGGCAGCTTGCCAGGTGACACCAAAAGTAAAATTGCATCAATCAACAAGGAGCAGAACAAGGATCAGGCTCAGCTCCCCAGCTGCTGCTACTCAGGTAGTTATTACAAAGAAAGATCTTTTTTCTTCATTTTCCCTTTCAAAAACAAGGTGCATATTATATATTCCAGGGCATGTTGTATGCAAGAAAATATAGTATTTTACAAGGCCCATTGCTTTGGCGACTCATTTCAGGCACGTGTTGCACATAAAATGGATCATGTAATGCAGCAACTAATTTCAATTATGGAGCAACCCATAACTGAGGTAGGTCTTCTTATCTGAGGGAATATAATATTTGTTGTTTAAAAAAATAATAAGTAAAGCAGTGCCCACCTCTGAAATCCATCTTGTTATGTCTCTGTGAAAAGGGACAGTGTCTTTTCAACAGAATCGCAAGAAAAAATATATATATATTATTTATTTTATAACAATGTCAACATCAACACCACAAAAAAGGAACATCCTAGTTGTTTTCAGTCAAGCACTCTTATTGTGCTGAAAAAGGCATCAGGAATTGTGTCTTCACTTGAAAGCAAGAAAAACAGAAGAAATTAAGTTTTTGTGGCAGTAACAAATTGTGTGTGCATGTGTCTAGGGAGGGCTGGGGAGTGGGGTGTGGGGGAAGTGCGTTTTTGTTGATTTTCTTAGCAACAAAATAAAAGAAAAAAGTCACAATGAGGTTGATTACTATTTAATCTGTGGTTTCAAACAGCTCATCAGATCAGTGTCCATCTCTGGAGTGCTAATGGTGAACATTCAGTTAAAGGAGTCTTGCAAAATATTCATTTCGCTTTAATACGTTGGTTTTCAATTTTTCAGGGCTTGTTTTCTTGCATTTCCCTTATTTCCTTGTTAGCTGTTCTCACTCCACTCTGGCACCATGCCCACCCCATGAACAGAATGGTACTGGTGGGGTGAAAGGGTTCTAGGCACCCCATGGGAATAAAGGAATTCTGCTGGCTGTAAGCTGCTTGGGGGAGACTGGATGCCAGTTTGAGGTCCACACTGCCGGACAATGGGCTGGTGAGAAACAGATGTTTGGTGCTGAAACATGCTGTGTGTGTCCCCTATTTGTGGTGATGTGTGATTGGCCACACCGGTGAGACGGGGCATCAGAGGACCAGAGGTGAAATGGGCAGAAAAATGCTGGTACGGTAACCTGTCCATAGGCTGCATGGCAGTCACTGTGCAGCTGCTGTAAGATGGCACCGTGGGCCATGTGTTACAACTGATGTCCTCTAGGCTGGGCACGGGGTCTGTTGGGGGAGCGGAGCTGGCATACATACAAGCTTGGCGCTGGGCAGATTCAGTCCTGTATGAGGTATTCAGTCCTTGCTGTTGGGAGTAACTGGACCTGTAGAAGGGATCCTCTTCTGCTGGTGAGGTTTCCATGTAGGATTTCTTGTATGGATGCTCAGTGGTGGAACATTCCTCATCTGCTGATAAATAAAATGCCTTGTAATAAATAACAAAACTATGCTGTGTTGAGGCTCCCACCCATCAATCTCAAAGTGCTCTGCAGGGGTGTGGGGGAGGAGAGGGTCAGTATTAGTACCCACATTTCACAGGGGGAAAAATGAAGGCACAAAATGTTGATTTATCCAACACAGGCGCACAGATCTTGGCTAAATTCTGCTGTCACACTGATGCAAATCCAGAGTCATTACCTAGAACCATCACCTGGGACCAGGGAATGACTGGATTTACATCCTGAAACTGAAGGAAGCATTTGGCCTCTGGTCTCCTGACTCCCAAGTCTAGAAAGGGAAACTGGCTACAAGGAAAATTTAAGAACAAAACCATTCAACATCACTCAAAATTCTTTGTTGTGCTAGATTTTCCATAGCTAATGCCCACAGGTCACCTTACCTGTGCCCTGATGAGGTTAAACTCTAAAGAAGCCAGATGGACAAAAGGACAGTAGCAGTTAGGAACCAATGTTATAACTGTATATCTGATGAGAGGCAGTGTGTCCAATGGGTTGTCTGATCTTGACTCTAACACTAACTCCTGTGTAACCTTGAACAGGCACTGTGAATCTTTACTTATTTTTTCCCCATCCCTCTTTTTTCTGGTTGCCTGGTTAGGCTGCACGCTCTTTGATCCAAAACCTGCTGTTTGCTATTTGTATATACAGTCCCTAGCACAATCGTTTGCCATCACAGTTGGCAGGGTCTGTAGGTACTACTGTCATTCAAATAATAATATTAACTGCACAAAACAAAGCCCCCCTACAACATGCCATTGGATTTACATTAGCTGTGGCAGCATTCAGATGTCTAGTTTCAGGGTTAACAGTTCAGACCCTTAACTGTTCACAGGGAATTAAGCTCCTAAATGCCTTTATGACCTAAGGCTATGCCCTTAAGTCAAGGATGAAAAAAGTAAAAGTAAGTGTCACTAGTAAACAATAAATAACATTCTCTGTTCATACAAGCAAGAGGAATAAGATACTGAAAAATCACTTAGGGTACTGATGCACAAACAGCTTTCTGCTGAGTGAAACGGGTCAGGATTTTACTGTATATCAGCTGTTTTGTGTACACTCCTACCCCATAGTAACTGAAAGCTAGCACACAGTACTTTCCCTCTATCACTGAGAGCTAACTGTCACAAGTTAACTTCCACTTACCTTGGAGTTAGAGCATGCACACAAACAGTTACTACAGAGCAGCTAATGTATAGTAAAGCAATGCCTCCTTTTACCCCATGGTAACCAGTTCATCTGCCCAAGAGCCCATACCCTTAGGTGGGAATCTCAAGAGTGATGCAAAGCATTCATTCATTCATCCATTCATAGAACTGAGTGAAATCTTAGTTCTGTTGAAATCAGTGGTCAAACTCCCATTGATTTCAAAGGGGCTAGGAATTTCACCCAGAGATTTCAGGGACAAAATCAGCTACTGTGACCAAGACTACTGTATTGTTTTAATATTAAGTCTACTGTTTTATTTTCCCTCCAAAAGAATGCTAAAATATCACATTTGATTAAACTAGGGTTTGAACCATAGTCAGCCCCCTGACAGTCGTGTTGTTTGTACTGACAGTATTTTGGTGCATACAATCAAAATATTAAGTCAGAAACATTCATTCAATTAAGTTTTTATTTTAGTATTTTTAGTGCATTTAACCTTTTGGGTCCTTTCCTTGGTTATGAGATTCTCTTGTGGGATTTGACAGGGCAGGGCAGTAGGTTAAAGGTGGTAGGTTAAAGGACAGGTGGCAGGGTGGCTCTCTAAAATGCCACTCTGTCCTGCTTGCTGCTTGATTTCAGGCTAACATGGCTAACTACTAGGGCTGTGTAAAGCTTCGGGTAGTGATTCGATTTGGAGGAGATTCGGCCTGATTCGGTGGCTGAATCTCTGAATCCAAATCGAATCAGGGGACCAATTTAAAGGTCTAAATTGATTCGAAGCTCTCCAAATCTTCGGAAAAGATTTGGAGAGCTTTGATGATTTGGGCAGTCCCTGGTGGCTGCAGAAGGGAGCTGCAGCTGACTCTGAGCTGGTAAGTAGTAGGGGCAGGGGAGGGGACCATGGGGGGACCCCTGCCAACTCCCCTGACTCCCTCCGCTCCCCTAGGCTCCCTGACCCCTGCCTGCTCCCCCCAACCTCCCCATGGCTGCCCCCACCCTCCACAGCTCACCTGTACTTTAACTGGCCCCGCACCGCTCACTGGGTGCTGCTGGGCAGGGGGCAATCCCTGCTGCCCCCCACTGGCCCATGCTTTATGGAGGGGCTCTACACGAGCCCCCCGGCCCCCGCCTCACTCCCCCAGCCCTCATGGGTGCCCCACCTGGGCCAGCTTTAAGCTTTAAGAAAAAAAAAAACTAAGAAAAGCCCCGGGACTCACCACTCCTGCAGCAGCCTCGGGGCTTTGGGGGCTCGTGCAGAGCCCCCCACATGGCGTGGGGCAATGGGAGGCAGCAGGGATTGCCCCTGCCAGCAGAAGTGGTGAGTCTGGGGGGTTTTCTTTTTGTCCTTAAAAGGCTGGAGCTGGCCAGGGTGGGGCACTCGTGGGGAGGCTGGGGGAACAATGGGGGGCTCTGGAGGCTCATGCAGAGCCCCCCATGCAGCATGGGGCAGTGGGGGGCAGCAGGGATCGCCCCCCACCCAGCAGCATCAGCTGAGCTGGGGCTTTTTTTTTAACAAGTGTTGGAGCTGAGGGAGGCAGGGCAGCCATTGCGGGGCTGGGAGGGCAGGTGGGGGATGGGCCTGGGTGATTCTGCGATTTGGAGATTCAGCAGCTGCCAAATCTCTGGATCAGATTCGGCCGAATTGAATCGGGATTGTGATTCGAATCACTAAATCGAATTACTGTTCCCCGAATCAGCCGAATCCGAAGCAAGTACTAGGCACTTTGCACAGGCCTAGAAAACATGCTGTGTGTTAGCCACCCCTGTGCTCGGGCACTGAGCCCTGCATTAAAGACTCCAAGTGTTGGAGAACTCACAACACTTTAAATAAGGAATGACAGCTATAAAGAGCATTTACTTTCCAGAACCAAGTTTTCAGCAGAGAATGCAAAGATCAGGGCTATTCAAAAACTTTGTATTTAAATTGTTTCGGGGTTTTTGTGACAGGAAACTGGATTTCACAAATGATTTTTTAAGTGCTTATTTTTCACAGAAAATTTAATTTTTTTTATTGAAAAACTGAACGCCCCCAAACTGAAAAGTTTTCAGGTCTTAGGCACAACACCAACATTTCCTATTCAGTTTTGTTACTACAGTACCTCAGGGGATATTTATATTTTGCACTTAAATGGGAAAGAAAGGAGAACAGAGCAAGTTTTGGAAGAAAAGTGATGGCATCTAAAAACAGTTTAAGCAGTTATTAAGTTGGATGTAAAAAATTTTTTTTACTATTACTGATCTGATGGATTTTCTTAGCACAATGACAAATTTGTACACGTTATTATAGAATGCAAGATTTAAGTGCATCCCTTAAGTGCTTTATGGAATCTGGGCCTGTAAGAGAAGCTGAATATCGAATGATATCCTGCATTTTTGCTCCTCCTCCAACTGTCTTCGAAGTTTGGATGCAGAAGTCACCATTAAGTAACAAGAACTGAAAAACAATGCTTCACAAAATGAATCATTGTTCTGCTAATAAATTGTTCAGCATTATATTGCAGCGCAGCCCCAGACACGCTCTGCTGGCACCAGAAAACATCAGCCCTTTGTTTTATTGTTTATTTTACTTTGAAAGAATGTTTAACTTTATGTTTTTCCATTGTACAAAAAATCTGTCCAAATTATAACCCTAGGTTGTTGATTTTTCCATTTAGTTGGGGCACATTTCCCACAGCCACAGCACAATCAAGCAGCAATCTCAAAGTTACAGATACATGTCCAAAATTATTGTCAGGTGAAGATGAAACATAAATCTGGTTTCCAGTATGAAAAATCGAAGTAACACAGGCCAAATTCTTTGAAATGTAAATTGCCATCATTCCAGCAACTTCACTAGATCTGTGTTGATCTAGCTCCAACTGAAGAATTGGCTGTATATCCTAGTCCTCCATTTCCCTTAAGATCTTATACCACTCCTCAGAAAGAACTGCTTAGTTATTGATGGGTTAAAATTTGGTCTAAAGCTGTTCCCTCTACCCTTTGGCCCTTCTTCCCAACCTGCCGTCCATATCTTTTCTCCAAAGTTCTGAACAAGGAGAAAAAAACTCTAGGCTCATCTTGAAAATACCAGCAGATGTGGTTGTACAAACTGGTGCGCAGATCCTCAGCTAGTATAAACTGACAAATTCTGTGAAAGCGGGTCTCCCATCTGACATAGACCTGACAGTCTGTTCCTGTGCCTCCCTTCCACACATCCCATAGCACAGGGGTCAGGTCAGGCAGAAGCAGGTCCAAGGTGGAAAGAGGCAGTGGGCAGAGGTGTCTTTATGTGGGCTCCAGGGTGGGAGCCCTTTAATTACAGGGGCTCTGAGAACTGCTCTAATTAAAGCACTCACAGCATTATGGGTATTCAGCATCCCATGCTTCCAAATGGTGGTGAGGGTGCTTCAACTAAAGCTTGTTAAATGAGCTGTAATTAAAGCTCCCTAGCCATCATTTTGAAATGTGGGGAGGATAAATACACGTGACGCGGAGGCTGCTGTAGTGTGCTAATTAGCAGGTGTTGGGGCAGACATCTGGCATGTGTAGAGGTGGAGAGTTCAAAGCACTCTGACACTCCCCATTAGTGATTCCTAGAGAACAGCTGCCAACCAATGCAGCTTAGAGCAATCCCCAGACTGCTCTAACAGCTCTGGAGCCAGGACAGAGAATCTTCTCCTTGACTCTTTCAGCCATAAATTGGACAGGGCAGACAATCTTGCCTGTTGTGTAAATCAGCCCAGTTTCACTGTAGACTGTCTGCCTCTCTGTGATTTTCTTTTGCTGCTCATAACCTAACAGCTTTTGATTGTAGTAGTTCTT